CTTCTCCAGTATTCGCCTGGAATCGATAAAAAAAAAACAGGAAAGAAACGACCATCTAGACAGCCAGTCTCAAGGATTTGCGTGCAAGCAAAGGTTGCTTTGGACCCCGATATTAAACTGATCCTGCTACCGATGGAACTTGAACTTTGTGATCAACGAATAAGCTTCAGATGTAGACTGGGAACTACGCTATCGCAACCGGAATAATTCTCAAACACAAATAAATTTGCCGAAACAACACTTCTACATTTGCAGAGATGTTAAGATCGAGTAATTTCGTTAGTACTAGCTGCATCCGAGCGAATATTCCAATCATTAAAACTGAAAACAGCTTCATACTGAATACTAACTTCAAACAGCCAGCTTCTGCACTATGCGTTACTGCATCATACTTCCGTTTTTATGAAGAAACATTCAAAAATTGCTAAGCGTTGAGATTAAGTGTCAGAATCAAAAAGTCACTTTCATTTTAGTGTGGAGAATTATTTGTCTCCAACATTCCTCCAACTCGCCCTACGGAGTTGGTGTTCACACAGGAGCAAAATTTCCAAAAATGTAATTGAAGGTTCAAAAAGGTCTCATTTTGTACAATACTGCATAAGAAGTATTACTCGAGCTCCAGCTTCCCCCCTTCAACTCCTTCTCTTACAAAACTTGCATCCCTTCGGCGATTCACAAACCCGAAAATTTGGTTTTAATGGACTTGCACGCATCGGTTCTGAATTAAACCTGAGAGTATGATGTGTTGCAGTAATCTGTCCCGTATATCATAAGCTGCAAACGTCTCTTATTTTCATCTTAAATCTCTTTGGTGCATGACTGGGGAGCACTTCTATAACTAGCAGTAGCACACTTTCAAGATTTTGTGTCGATGGTTTCTTATTAGTATTGTTAAAAAACACAATGTACCCTTATAGCGTATTTTATATTTGTACATAAAGGAATCAAATGGGGTCCTAATGGATGACTCGGGCCCTGGTGGGGTATAATGAGGCTCATAGGTATACATCATTAAATACCAGGAAAAGCCCTCCTGTAATGGGGAGCCTTTGTAGTAAGGCTGAGTTGTCAAGTCCCTTCCCAAACCTCCTCGTGGTGGCCCTGGATTCTCTGCGTGGTGAGAACCTATAGAGTAACGAAAATGGTGGGACAAAAGACGAGTTTCCGGCGCCTTAAAACGGGAATTATGAGCTAAAGGAAGGAAACCCTGACAGAAAACCAAGGGAGGGGGGAGGGGGGCCTCCGTAGGTGTGGTGATGGGATGACAACCTTCCTATGGGATGACAACCCTGAAAAAAAATCTACCTCCAGGATTAAGCATGGGGGTTGGACGCAGGGCTAACATTCCCGCTCCATAAAAAAAAACTTCAGTTCAAACCGATTTAAATATGACTCGGACCGGACCAAAATTAAATTTACGACAAAGGCGGCTACAAAAACGGACAATGAAAATTGGAACATGGAATATACAAGGCCTACGTACAAAGCAGAGGGAGGTCATCTCAGAAATTGAAAAAATGAACCTGGACATAATTATACTTACGGAAACACGAAGAAGAACAGGGTCAGTAGGAAGAAATTTTGAAGGGAAATATCTTTCCATATTTGGGAGATGGTTGTAACCCAAGATTTTAGAGGCTAGAAGTGAAGTCTCTTTCCCTTATAAAACGTAAATGGACAAAATTCATTTAAACAGATAGAGAATATTAATGAAAGGAGTACAACGAATAGACATGAACATTTTTCGTGCCATCAGATAACAATTTTAGGGGTATATGCCGTAAATGATAAGTGGCACTTGTCCGATGAAAAGAATAAGTTCTTTCCGGAAGACCTCACGCGAAACTATAGCGGAGCATTCGCGTAACAAAGATGAAAGTAATTTCAATTGGAGATTTTAATAGCAGAGTAGGTTAAATAGAGACCAGGTGAAGGATAGTAGGTCAATACGGGTAGAGGCAAATCTTAATGACAATGGAAAAAATTAATCAACCTTATGTAAGAGAACATGCACTATGTGGAAGGGAATAGTTTGTTTTAGACATAAAAAACATTCCACAAATATCACACGAATAGATCAATAGAAATATCAATCTGGGTAATTGATTTAGTTGTGGTTAAGAATGAAAGAAGAGGTTTAAACTGGGAATGATGATGAAGAGTATACCGCCAACCAGAATGTGGTAACATCATCACATGGGTAGTGAGGCAAGCATGTTTTTCTTTTTAGAAATAAACGAAGGGATGTACTCGGAAAAATATACTGACTTTTTTAATTGAAGAAAACGAATGTAACTTTTAAAACAGACCTTTTAAAACAATACAGTGTTTGAGAATGGCTCTAGACCGCAAACAGAATTCAGAATAACTAGAATACTTAGAAGATAAAAGTTTCACGGAAGAAATGTACAGTCAATCATTTAAAGCAGAGGCTGTTTTTTGAAGCGCAAGCTCCAGGAAAGTTTAGAGTGGAAGCAAAGAAAAAGCAAGTTTGGTAGAGAAATTTAGTGGGAAAGATTTAGAGAAAGCATGATTAAGGAAAAGAAAAAAAAATATATTGACATGGATTTCTG